CCAGCATCTCCTAAAGAAACATCCCTCTGCCAATTACTCTGAAGGCATGGATTCAGCTCAGCGTGAGAGCTCGATTGAAGCCAGTTGGCTGTGCCAACCGGACAGGGATGGCTCAAGAGAGGCTTCAAATGAAGTAGAGAAACTYTAAACAGATTTCTTCAGTCTTTCCTCCATCCCTGCTCAACCAGAGCCACCAAAGTCAGAAAAATGGCAATATTTTACCAAAGGAGTACTTGTCACACAGCTCTGCCATCCCCTGGAAAGCCCCCAGAAGGRAAGGAGAGAGTTGTACAGAAAACTGCAGGAGGCAGACGCAGACTTTTGCTCTGAGCCCGCCTCTCYGAGACAGAGCGTTTGAGGTTTTTCAGCAGGCGCAAGTAGCAAATCCTCTAAGYCCTGTGATTTCTCAGGCATGTGCCCTCGCCGTGGGCACATCGGGTACGTGTACCCAGAGTACTGGCACAGAGGTCTGGCCCTGGGGGAGCTGTGCCTGCGGCTGGAGCGCTGCCAGCCGAGGGGGAGGACAGAGGGAGCGAGCACGCTGGATCACCACAGTGAATGTCTGCTCTGCTCGTGTGCAGTCTCTCTGGCCTGCAGCCTTTTGGCTCACCCCACCTGCCTCTTTTCCCTTTTKGTTTTTTTTTCCTTTCCCCCAGCTGAACTGGCGGAGAGGAGGCTGCAGCTCCTTTCTGTTCCTGCAGCTTTCCTGTCTGGCTGACGCTGTGCCCTGGACACAGATGTCTGCTTAAATATGGATCCTGCAAGGCACAAGTTATGCTTGCGGGAGGAGYGTGGAGCAGGGAGATGCTGTGATCCGTAGGTGGGCTGTGAATAGCTGCCGTCCTGTGCAAGAATGAAAGAACAATAACAACTGACAACACACTGCCTTAAACCATGGCTGCTTAGAAGGAAGATTTTGGTTCATTTTAGCAATTAATTATTTGTTCAGGTAGCTACTTCATTTAAAGCGTCCCATTCACATAGCTCACCCTCCGTGAGCTCATTAATGCTCAAGCTGTGTCACCTCAGGCTAACCTGGTGGCTGCTGATTGAGTCCCGTGACAGCTGTTTGCAGAGGTTTGCCCTGCTCCCTGCCAGCAGCCTGCTTTCCTCCTCCAAATTGCCTCTCGGTTCCAGGCAGGGCTCAGAATGCCTGACTGARTGCTATCCTGGGCAGAATGGTTGGATTTCTAGGAGTAATGGCTGAGGCGTGACAGGTAACATCCTGCAAAGCCCCAGGAGTGCTCCTGCGCGTTATGGCTCGAAGGTGTTGGTCAGGGTGAACCCTGGACCGAGCCCATAAACRTTTAAGTCCCAGAACAAATGTTTAGGGTTGTACAAACATGTTAATGACCTCCAGTTAATTGGCAAGCAATTACCTTGGAGTAAAAATAGCTTTCCCATTGCTGAGCAGTCACAGGAGTGCGTGTTCCCCCATGAACACTAACAGATCATGAAAATTTTTGGCCAAGAGGCCTTGTCCAACTTGCCTTCTGGATCCTGGCAGGTTTGTGATCAAAAGTTTTTTGTCCCCAGCACCAATTGCTGTTTGTTTGTGGTACAGACTCAGCAAACAGAGCTGTCTGCCAAAGCTAATTTTCATGCTGCCCTTTCATAAAGTTCTGTAGTTCATAATGCAATGAAAAAGTAAGATCATATTGACTGGCAAAAGTGTGCCGTTCAGCAAGGGAAAGTATCTGCTGTGTTCACTATAAAGGAGCTATCAGTGAAAGCTAGGTAGGTATTTTTAACCCAAAAGACAGCTTGGCAGGCTATAATGTGTCTCCTACTGAATTTTGAWTCTTTCTGATCCTTTGCATGACAAAAATCCGCAGCTGGACTGATTTCATGAGATGTGTGTTGCAGCTGAGAAGCACAAGGCCTGCACAGCTCCCACATGGGACCTATGGGCAGGTGCTTGACCTGTTGTCTCTCTGCTGCCTAGAGAAGTCAGCAGCATCTTTTTGTGAGTTCTCTGGTCCATTCAAACCATCAGCTTCTCTTAGAACTTTGATCAAGTCCTTGCTTGAACCTCCATACTTTAGGGGGAAAAAGGCACAGATTTTCTTCATCTGTAACTGAGCCACACCTGGATTTCTTTCCTGGAAGAGATGATCACAGCATTTCTAGGAAGGCAAAAACCAGRCACACGTGAGYGAGCGGAGTCTGTTGCTGAAGTCCYGTGACTCGGGGGCTCGTGGTGGCTGAGATGAGCGGGCACGTGGTGCAGGGTGGCTCCCCCTGAAGAGCCACATGTGCTTCATGTKCCCCACAGTGTCGTGTGRCAGCGGGTGAGGCGCTGTGAGCCCYRTCCCCATCTCCAGCTGCTCCAGGCCATCCCTCTCTCCAGGCAGTGCAATGTCACACTGAGGAGGAGGGATGCAGGTGATGCTGGCAGCTTTGGGAGAGCCAGGATGTCTGGCATCCGCACGGATTTGTGTGGTGTTCCTCTGGATGCTGCAGTGGGCTGCAGGGTCAGTCCACAAAAATCTTTCCAAAGCAGCCGGCGGTCTCTGCCTTGTGTCCTGGAGGAGTGAGGGCGTGGCAGATGGAAAAAACAAAACTAGCAAAKTGCATTTCACAATCCTGGCAGCAGTACTCGGCAAACAGAGGAACCACAATGATGGAGCCTCAGACTGCTCTCCCTGTGCAGCCTGGCGTTAGGAACTTTGGCGTTGTTGTGAGCTTTGAAAAGGCTCCTGTTCCCTCAGWGGGCTCCCATGGCCTTTGGTAACTTCAGGTGCTTCAAGAGGAGCTGTAATGGGTGCAGATACCAGAGCTTTCCAGGAAACATTCAGGTACAAATGCAGCTCTGTTMGCTGTAGCTGCCTTGAATTAAAGTTCTGTGCCTGTAGTGGCAGACAAATTTGCTGGCAAACATTTTGCAAAAAATAAAAAGAAAAAAAGGCATCGATCCAGAAAGGCACTGTGCACAAACTGAGCTCGGTATAAATGAGTACACCTGTGCTCGACACCAGGCACGTGATGAATGCTCTGCTAGAACCCAGCCAAAATAAATTTAAAATAAATATCGGCCCGTACTGGTGGAAGATGAATGCCGGTGTTGTAAGCAGGAACGCATGCGGCAGAAACAGGAGCCGCCCGCTCGGCGTGTCAGCTGGGGATATCCACAGGGAGGGTCACGTGCGCTCCTCTCCAGCTCACCAGCAGAGCTGGTGAAAACAGGTTTTGATTTGAATGAGTTATGACCCATTGAAAATGGCATCATGCGTAACCACAGTAAATTGTCATAATGAGATCACGAGGCTGGAGAAGTGAGCGGCGAGCACAGAGGCCTCGTTCCACCAGCGCCCACGGCTGACAGCCCGGGGCTACAAAATGCAACCCAGGGGCACGCTCCAAATCCCCGGACATCTTTGTTGATTTAGTGACAGGGCCAGGGGTTGCACAGCCAGACAAAAACTCAGGGGGAATTTTGAGTTAAAAAGAAGCAAAAAAAGCTCAAATTCATACTGCTTTGCATTTAATCTTATCCAGGGTAATAGAGGAGACTGGGGCTAACATAAATAGTGGGCAAACATGAATACTCTAGGTTCTTCCATGTTTACCCAGGCTTAGCTTGGTTATTTCTAAATCATGCTGCTGTAGGAGGGGAGGGTTTGGTGATAAGGGCAGAGCACTACAGAGTTGAAAGGAAATCTTCCTGGAAGCAGGATAAAGCCTTGGTGCATCCCCAGCTGGGCCAGCCCTCCTGGACCCTGCTCAGGCACAGCTGCCCAGCTATAAATGCTGCAGAATCATCGCTGCCTTCTCTATTTTCATAGGAAAAATAGAGGCAAAGTCTAAGACTGTGATAAGTTTGATGCTTTAAACTTTACCAAATACCAGACAACATAAGCAGCAGAGCTCCTGCCTGCCAGGTGCCTTGACTTTTGGAAAGAACTCCTTTCTATTCCTCCCAACACAGTTCTGTTTGTGTGGGGCCATTTGCAGCTCTGGGGACTRGAAGAAACACACTTTAGCTCATTCTGCTTCTCTTCTCAAAGAAGTGCACGTGTCCAGAGAGGCCCATTGCAAACCCCGTGCACATGTCCTGACCACATCCTCCCACTCCCCGCAAGGTGCAGGGCAGAGGTGGGTGTCATGCATGGCCCCTGCAGGACCTGTTCCCTGTGTCTCAGGGCAAAGCAGGCTGCTTTCCACATGGCTGCCACTCCTCCCAGTCTTGCAGCCTTCCGTCTCCTCCATCTGTTAAGCTCTGCACACAAATATCTGTGCCCCTGAGCCATGGAGACAATTCAGGCTCGTGCAGATACGCAGCACCTTCCTKCCTCATGGCGTGTGTTTACAGTGGTTTCATCCTGACTGAATTCATAGCCTGAGTCCACGAATAAAGAAACAGCCAGCTCAGAGCTGTTCCATGCAATGCTGGGTCCTTGTCTGTGGGGCTGCACAGTCTGAGTAGCACTTTGCAGTCTAAGCCCTTCCCAGGAGCCCAAATCTCCTCTTGTGGGCAGCTGGATCCAGGTCCTTCTGCTCTTCCAGTAGAAATGTTTGAGGCTGCTCTGGGGGACTCTTGTCTTGTTTTCCCGGTGTTGGTCACTGACATTGCTGCAAGGAGAGCCGAAATGGATGGAGCCCAGCCAGGCTGAAGACACGGTGGGCAAATGTGTCCCTGCATGCACTCAAGAGCAAAGCACGGGGAGCACTGAGGCTTTCCTGGGGCTGGTGCACCAGAGGAGCTTTCCCAGTGGGGCATTTCTGCCTGCCAGAGCCACAGATCAATGTGCCAACACTGCCCATGCTGCAATACAGGTGCACAGAATGTATTCAGGTTTTCCAGGTACCTTCTCTGTAGCTAAGGAGAACCAAGAATAAAACTGTTCATTTGAAATACCTTCTTAATTTACTGCTTAAGCTCACTTGCTGTTTGTCATCCACTGAGTASAAGTCCTTCTCCTCTTTCATTCTTTAGTCTCAGCTTAGCAGCCCTGCATAAACCCCTACTAACACAGCTAATTTCTCTAATGCCCGTGTAGGAGAAGAAYTTGGACTGGTTCCCTCGGATGAGAGCCATGTCTCTGGTTAGCAATGAAGGCGACAGTGAGCAAAATGAAATCAGGAACCTGCAAGAGAGGCTGGAGTCGACCATGAGCCTTGTAAAACAGCTTTCTGGTCAGCTGGCTGAGCTCAAGGAACAGGTAAGTGCCCTGCCGTGGGTAGCAAAGTGAGCACGTGTGGGTGAAGGCGCTACTTTTCATCMGGTCACAGTCAAGACAGTGTTACAAAAGAGACTTTTGTCTAGGGAAGGTTTTATCTTTCCCTCCAGTAAGCTTTCTGGGTAGATACATTGATAGGGGTTTGGAGTGAAATTGTACTCTGTTGGCAACAACACAGATCAGGTAAGGAGAAAAACTGAGGGGGAATTGGTCATTAAATCCTCCCAGTGAGTGTGTGAGGACAGAGGGGAAACTGCAGAAGGGCTGGGGCGCTGCATAACCCGGCACTGAAAGCGCTGTGGTGTCAGGAATAGCTGCATACTGATGGGAGCCCAGAGGAAAAAAGCCTTCTGTGTCCAGCCCTTGGGTTCTTCCCCCCAGCAGGAACATCAACAGTGCCCTTGTGACAACAATGTGCACAGCCTGTTGCTTTGCTTGTGCCACCCTCGTGTTGGTGCCTCTCCTGCGGGTCCCTCTTCTCTCCGGTACAGAGCACAAGCTGCTGGCCCCCTTAAAGCCTCCCTTAAAGCCTGCCTCCTGCCTACACCATCATGGGTATTTGCTCTCCCTTCAGGATCAAAAGGCCAGCTCCTTTTTTGCTACAGATGCTGGTCACCTCTGCTTCCCTCATTACGGTTTCAGAAAACCATCTGTGTGTTTTCTTTATGGGAAGCACTTCAGTGGCATCGACAGAGTTATCTAATTATTCTCCTTTAAATCCCTCCTTAAAACTTTTTGCTGTGAAAAAGCCAACAAAGGTGTAGGCTGGRTGTGCTGAGACCATTGCTTATTGTGCTTACCCACACCATCCTGGTGGGATTTTTTTCATCCCCCTCTGGCTGAATCTGTTCTCTTCTGGCTTAAATTTAAACTCTGTGTGGCCGAGGCCATCTTTTAATTCTGTGATTGTACAGCACCAAGTGCAAATGCTGACCCTCTGCAGGGCTACGCAACATAATAGCAGCACAAATAATACACTGTAAGACCTGCCGGGGGATAAGAATAATGTATAAATGAGAATGAAATGTCCGTACTTTGCAGGAAACAGATCTCTCACTTCAAAGACATCTCTTACTTGTAATTTTCTGTGCTGAAGAAAAGAATTCCACTCCCTGTTGTTTTGCTTATATGTATCTTGCTCTGTGACTGCTAAATAATAGTAAAAAGAAAAAAAAAAATCTCAACTCGTCTCTCTCTGCCTTTCTACCTTAGATGACAGAACAAAGGAAGAATAAGCAGAGGCTGGGTTTTCTTGGATCAAACACACCCCATGTGAATCATCACATGCCACCACCCTGATACCACGGGGAGAAGCCGTGACTAGCCTTTCATCAGTATTCCTGCTTTATTATAGAATAAAAAACTGAGATTGAGAGGAGTGAACAGTGCCTATTGTTACAAAGTTAAAAACAACCAAGTGCCAAGATGTTAAGTGGTTTAGCTCTGGGAACAATTTGTAGCTGTTTTTCATGGTTGAGAGGGACCACAACCTAGAATGTGAGCGATAAAGGCAKCTCGTTTGTATTCCCTCCCTGGCCCGGCTCTGCAGCTCGGCGGCTCCAGGGGTGGCTGGGACAGACKGGGACAGTGTGGCCGTGTCCTGGGAGCTGCCTTCTGCCCGGAGCGAGCTGAGCAGAAGAAGGAGAGGTGTTTGTTACGGCAAACACGACAGCCTGGCTCGGGATCAATAGGTCGTCTCTGGCTCACTTGCCAAATAGCAACATTAGTCATATTTGCTTGGCATTTACTATTTTTTAATTACCGTAAATATGTCAGTCGGGTAAGCAATAATGTTGCTTCAAGTAACTTCTACTTGGAGGGAAAGGGGAGAAACCTCAAAAGACTGGGGTGGGGGGAAATAAAGGAAAAAATAGAAAAAAAAATTGCAAAGAGAAACATTAACGCTTTTGAATTTAAGCTGTCACCATGCAATTTCTTATTTATAACGTGGAGCACAATGGATCTACATCTGTGGGAATGTTATGCACATAACACTGACAACATAACTGGAAGTGATTTCTTTCCCCTGGCTTCAGATGTTCTCGATTAATGTGGCCRTGAGGTTTCACATACTGAGAAGTTAAACTTTTTAACTTAAATTCAAGTTCCAGTGGAGGATTCAGGAAAAAAAAAATATATCTGTAGTTTGAAGCGTGTATGGGATTTTANAAAAAGCTTAGAAATGTCTTTCTGCACAGAGCTGTAATGGTGTCATTACCTTCCATAAACTCATCTTCAGCGAAAGTTGACTTGAGTAAATAAGCACCATATTCTGCCAGCTTTCCTCTGAGCTAAGGGTCATGGGCTGATGGCTTTGCCTGCCCTTCCTGCTTCCAGGGGCTCAGGCCTGGCCTGGCTSCTGGGGAACAGAGGGGCAGGATCAGAGAAATTCCCTCCAGCACTTGGCCCTACAAAAGGCAGCAGCCCAGTCACCTGTGCAGGTTTCTGCTCCGTCCTGTGTTTCTTGGGATGGCTTAAAAGAAAAATTACCGGGTTTCCATGGCGCCCTAGGGGACTCTTTTGTCTTTTAGGAGAAAATTTGACCAGCACTAATGGGAGTTCTCAGTTCACTTTCGTTTTCAGTGGGTTTTGGTTACCAGATATTGTCTTGCATTTGAAAATGCTCCTCTTGTTACATGGAGTCACTTGTTAAACCAAAATATTTTTGCAATGATTTTCCCCTGTGATGTTTCAATTTTGTTATAAAAGCCATTTTTATCAAAGGAAACATTATTACTGGTGTCAATATTTTCCAGGTTCCTCCTGGAAAAATGCTGTTGTCTTAGCTCTAATCAAACCTAGAGCAAAGGGAAGGAAGGGRCATTTCACTCTTTATCCCCAATTCAAACCAGTTCTTGAAGCTTTTTTTTTTCTTTTTTTATTTTTTTGTGGCAGTGATGTGACTGAGATAAAAGCAATATATTTTAGTTATATATTTATATCTTCTACCACTAAAACATTTCCAATTGCCTTCAATTGTGTCCTTCAAAAATACGGTGTGGAAATCAGAGGTATTTTACTGGAAGAAAATCCCCTTCTGTTGGCTTTAGTCCAGAGAGCACCCTGTTTTTGAGAGGTGATGGCCAAAGGAGTTGCCCACAAATATAAAATCAGCAGTAAGTTGGTAGAGACTCAGACCCTGTAGCTGTATTAATTCAAATTAGTTCATACAGCTAATCAGATCTAGTCACAGCTTCTGTTGCAACAGCAATTTCCTCTTCCTCACACGTGTGGTTATAAAACACAAAGCACAGTTCAATCACAAGATAACTTTAACTCTCATTATTTATTGGGGGGTGGGTGGTTGGCTAATACTGGAATTGGTTGGCACTTTCCTTGTTTACACTCAGAAAAAGCAGCTGCACTGCTGCACATCAGGGGAGGTTTCTGCTGCTGGAGGTGGAAGAGCTTGAGGCTCGATGGGTTTGTGCCCCGAGCTCAGGGCTGCAGTCGGGTGCTGCTGGTGCTCTCTCTGTCTCACAGCCCAGACCCYGTCCCCTGGGGCTCAGGAGCCCAGATCCTGCTCTTCAGAAGGGACATTACAGCATCAAAAACAAAGACACAACAGATTCAGGTTTGCCTTTGCCACGGTGCCTTTCTGCTGTTCATAGCTTCCAAGAGAGACCTCTGTAATTGGTAACAGTAGATGATGCTACTTGCACAGATTGTAAATATATTTCACTGAGCATTTTGACATTTTTGCTGTTTCTGTCAAAGCTTAGGCCCTGCCCTTCTCTCATCCATGTGAGAAATCTGTACACTCACACATGGTAATGTAAACAGGAGGCTCCTTGCRTAGATAATAGCTGCAGGGCCAGGCCCCAAGACTTAAAGATTGTGAAATAGGCCCATGAATGAGTTTATAACAAAAATCATTGTTTTATACATATGTTTATGTGTATATCTTTGTTTAATGCAGCTGGGGTATCCTTTTCCTAGGCAAGTATCATTTACCTTACCTATTTATATGAAATGACTGCGAAGAAGTTAAAACATCTAAGAGCTTTTAATGCTTTAGAGAGATTTATAATTATAAGCTCCTTGACAGTTAAAATCTACTTAAGTAAATATGTCCATTGCTGCTGAATGTAACTTTTAATAAAGTGTGTCATTTTATATACGCCTGTCTCGTTCTTGGTGCCAAGGCTGGGGGGAAATGTGTGTTCTGGTTCAGGAAACCCAGGCTGGTGGTCTTGGCTGGGGGACCAGGCTGTGGGTGAGCATCCATTCCCTCAGTGGCACAGCCCTGAACRGAGGGAGGCAGCAATGAAAACAAGGATTTGTTTAATTTCATCCCAAATTGTTCCTTCTGGGATGATGGGTCAGAATGCCACTGTTCCCGGAGGTTGGGTGGCACTGGGATGTGTGAGGTGCTCGAGTGCCGGGGGAGCCCTGGGTGAGGGTGGGCAGGGCAGGGGTGGTGGATGGATGTCACGGGTGGAGAGGAGCGGGGATGGTGGTGGATGGATGACACGGGTGGAGAGGAGCAGGGGTGGTGGTGGATGGATGACACGGGTGGACAGGAGCAGGGATGGTGGTGGATGGATGTCATGGGTGGACAGGAGCAGGGATGGTGGTGGATGGATGACACGGGTGGAGAGGAGCAGGGGTGGTGGTGGATGGATGACACGGGTGGANTGGATGTCATGGGTGGACAGGAGCAGGGATGGTGGTGGATGGATGACACGGGTGGAGAGGAGCAGGGGTGGTGGTGGATGGATGACACGGGTGGAGAGGAGCAGGGGTGGTGGTGGATGGATGACACGGGTGGAGAGGAGCGGGGTGGTGGTGGATGTCACGGGTGAAGAGGAGCGGGGGTGGTGGTGGATGGATGACACGGGTGGAGAGGAGCAGGGATGGTGGTGGATGGATGACACGGGTGGAGAGGAGCGGGGTGGTGGTGGATGTCACGGGTGAAGAGGAGCAGGGATGGTGGTGGATGGATGTCACGGGTGGAGAGGAGCAGGGATGGTGGTGGATGGATGTCACGGGTGGAGAGGAGCAGGGATGGTGGTGGATGGATGACACGGGTGGAGAGGGGCAGGGATGGTGGTGGATGGATGACACGGGTGGAGAGGAGCAGGATGAAGCCAAAGAGCCGCGGGGTTTGTGTGCCCGGGGCGCGGCAGCTGCGGCTGCTCCGCTTGTTTGGAGGGAGGAGCTGCTGCCAGCGCCGTGAGAGGCTCTGAGYATCCCCCGTGTCACGGGTGGCAGGGACATCCCGTCCTCGTGTCCCCCGGGAGCAGCGGGGCTGTCCCCGCAGGGCTGTCAGGGGACTGTCCCCACCACGGGAGAGCTTGTGACACTCACACAGTCACACTCACACACACACGCACACACACTCACAATCACACACACACTCACACAGTCACACACTCACACTCACACACACACTCACACAGTCACACTCACACTCACACACTCACACTCACACTCACACGCGTGGGAGTGGCCGTGGAGGGCAATCTGTGTTCGGAGCCTCTCGCTGCCTGTCATGCATTCCCAGTGCCAGTCCAAGGCTATAATTTTGGGAATCTAGCCCTCAAATGACACAAATGCAGAGGTGGAGAGCTTGACATGATTTGGATGATGAACCCAGAGCTCTTTTCCAGCCTTTATGATACCATGATTCTTTTACTATGATGCAGGCTTTTCTTTGTGAACTTTTTTCATGTTTTTAGTGTAACTCTTTCAAGTAACACATTGARAGAGAGGCCGAGGGCTTTCCCCACTCATCAGGGTGAAAGAATTGAGGAAGACAAACAGCTTAAAACCACTGTGTCTCTCAACTGAGACAAATTCGGCTTAGAAAATCTGTGCTCGTGTGAAAAAAGGAAGAGCCCTACAAACCTGTGGCAGGTAAACTACAGCATACAAGTGCTTTCTTTCTTTTTTCCCAGCTATGTTTTTTACAGGTAGTCAATATTAATGAGGAAAAGAATAAAACCTCTTCTTAGTGAGAAAAATCTTGCTAATTAATTAGTAAGAAAAATCCTATTAAATAGAGCATGCTGTTTCTCCCGTGCACTTATTACACCAACTTGCTGAGATTTTGAGTAGAATTAGCTTTATTTTTTATTCTCTGGTATGATTTTAAGGTTAAATATAAAGGAGCTTGTTTACTACTCAGTTTGCTAGATGGTTTTGCAAAAAGGATATCCTAAGAGAAAATGGGGTTTCATGCAGTAAGCTTTCAACCTCAGATTACAGTCATACTTAAAAAGCCCCCAAACYAACATTAAGCTTCTAAGCCCAAAGGGGAGCAGTTTCACATGCAGGRCTGAAATCCTAATGCCAAGGCTTTTCTTTTTAAAAATGTTTTCCCCCAAGGCACATTTTAATTCAAGAGGTGTTTCAGGGAGCAAACCTCTCCCTCGGCACTGGCTCACACTGCCGTGGCCTGCAAGMGAATTCTGCTCCTCCCTTTCCACCATCACTGCTGCTGCTGCTGCTGTGACAAAAGCATCTGCAGACGAGGATGTTTTCTTTGGAAAACACGTGCTTATTTTCTGGAGAAAGCTGCCAAGATTATTTTTGAGGGGAACAAGCTGAGATTTAAGGCTGCTAACCTCTTYGCTGTCCCGGGATGCCCGCAGGACCGTGACTCCTGCTTGCTGGTGCCTGGGATGAACATCTCAAATTTGCAGAAAATCATTCAAAATACCTCAAAAGAAACTTGGGCTGTGGAGGTTTTAAACTTGTAGTGGTGTATTGCAATCATCAGCTCATGCTTGCCCACTCTATTTATATGCTGCACTTTTTCAGGCCAGGGCAGGAAGCTGCAGGGCACAAGACAAGCAGCCTTTGTAACTTTGCCATTTCACCGTGTTTCTCTGGCTGCAAACAGCCAACAGTTACCCTTTTTTTTTTTATTGGAAGTTTCTTTCTCCATGTCTCCACCTTTGTGAGCTGCCACACAGGTAAGGTGAGACCCCTGCCCCTGGGCATGTCCTTGACCACAAGGTCCATTAGGATTTCATCCAGATGGCAAGAGCAGTGTGGGGATCCAGCTACAATTCCCTTTATAAGTTACTCCTTTCTGGCCCCCAAAGCCTGCAATGTCCTCCACAGGCTTTGTTCCCAATAACACGGAGCTGACACAAAACCTGTGGATTCCAGCATGTCCTCAGCTTTTCCTGTAATGCCTTCAGCTGGGATATGTCAACCT